ATTAAGCTCAGCTCACAAACAAAGGTTATTATAAACACAATTTGGGAACTAGGAGCATGAAAAACTGAACAGAGCTTGAAGAAGAGGAATTCAGATAAGGGCCCATCAAAGTAGAACAAGAAACTTGACTATTGCACTAGGTCCTGATAATCCAAGGGAAATGTTGTGAAGAGGTGAGGAGAAATCTGGAATGCACATTAGAGACCCTTCTTGTTGAGCTAACATCATGTTTAGGTCTGAGAAGCTTAGAGAAAGGCAACCGGGTGGAGACCCAGCAGTGACCTCTACAAACTGCAAAGTATTCTAGGGCCTCTCTAGCCTGGGGCCTTCAGCCACCATATTTATATGGCTTCAGGGGTTTGTAGTCTTCAAAGCTTTTTTCAAGATATACTTAAGGCAATTTTCAGTCAAGACCTATAAAGTAATCATTTCTATTTAAACTCAGAAGAGAATTAAACAGTCTTTTTTTTCCCCCTGCAGGAGTATGTTCTGTTCTAAATTCTTTAATACCTTTGTTTTGCCACCTAATAGGTGCAAGGACTCCTTAACCCATTATAGAAACATTCCTGTTGAAAAAGAGAGAGGTAAAATGATGGTACACATATTTTTAAAAACCTACAGTATATATCTATAGAAGATTTACTGTGAAGCCAATGATGCTAAAGTTCTAGGTCCCTCACATGGATGAGCCCCTTCGGAGACCTTGGAAAGAGGCTATGCTAAGTGAAATATTTATAAAAGTAATATATTTTGTTTCATTTCTCTTGAATAGAGCCTCTACAATCAAGAACTTTCCCTTACTGCTTCTCTGATATGGAAAGAAAACCGGACTCTTTATACTTTATATATCTGAGCTAATCTTAACTCCCCAATCATTGGGTAATAGATTTTTTTTAAGTGGCCAAATTATAGTATCACAATCCCTTCTGATTATGGATCTCCTTTTTGGGTAACTTCGTTGTCTCTCTTGAGTAAATGTTCAGTTTTCAGTGTTCTGGTCCCAACTCCAATACTTCTCCAGTCCAAGATGGAAGTCTGTCTCCTCCTCAACATTTATGGGGTAGCATTCATGACCTGTGGCGGCAGGGGGAGGGGTGTGACAATAAAATGTGTATGCTAATCTTTTCATTCTTTGTTGGTCTCTAGTGTTTTAGCTGGTTTAGAGCCAGAGGTCATATAAATTTTTTTTTCACTCAGTCAGGGCCTGATAGTTCTTTAATTTCTTATTGATGGTGCAGACCAGTGGGTGGTGGGTAAGCAATATCATCTATGGGATTTTTATTCAGAATGTTTAGCCCCAACTTCTTTAGCTTTCTCTTTGTTTTACGACTGCATAGCAGGTCTTGATTCTCAACTCTGTTATCACTCCCTTATCTCCAATAGTAAAGGAAGAGCTGGATACTGGAATCAAAGCCCCTCTTCTTGGCACCTCCTCCAGGGCATGAGGGCATGGGAACCCTGTGGCAGTCACTATCCACATTACCAAATGAGAGTCAGGCCAAGTTATTTTGACTTTGTCTTTTCTACCACCATGTCTAACACCTCCATAGGTAGGCAGGGTAGATTGCAAAAATAACCTCGATTCTCGATTCCTCATATGCTCATGCTCACTGCAATGTAAATGCACAGTTGTGCCCATCAGGTCTGTTCTCCACTCTGAATTTGGGTTGCCTGTGGTTTTCTTTAACCAATAGAACGTGGTGGCAGAAGTGATGCTGTACAAATGTCCACGCCTAGGCCTCAAGATGTGTTTTATAGTTTAATTCTATTTGGTCTTTTACCTTCATCATGAAAGCAAGCCTGAGAATTAATTCATCCCAGCCAAGATCACCCTATATCCGCAGGCACTGAAGACATCCCAGTTAACTGCACACACATGACCATGAGATCAGTATGGCTTCATATCAATCTGTGGACTCATAATGAATTATAACTAGTAAGCCACTAAGTTTTGGTATTTTTAGATAGCAATAGTTAACTAATAGGTGTTTTTTTGTGTTTTTTTTATATATATTTTATTGACTTATTATAGAGAGGAAGGGAGAGGGATAGAGAGCTAGAAACATTGATGAGAGAGAAACATCAATCAGCTGCTTCCTGCACACCCCCTATTGGGGATGTGCCCACAACCAAGGTACATGCCCTTGACCAGAATTGAACCTGGGACCCTTCAGTCCGCAGGCCGACGCTCTATCCACTGAGCCAAACCAGTCAGGGCCTAATAGATGTTTTTATTTTACTTCCCCTACAGAATATGCTGAGTTTTCTATACCCATGACTTATATTTGATGTGCTGATACCCAAACGTTGTTTTGTATATGTAGTGGGAGATTTTTAGAATTTGGAAACCCTTCTATCCTTTGCCCAAATTCTTCCTTTCAATATTATTTTCTCACTAGGTTATCAAGAAATAACCTTTGAGATTAAAGTAGAACAATGATCCCTTTGTGCTAGTTGTGCCTGCACTCTCTTGCAGGAGATATATGGCATTCATAGATTGTGTGGTAAACCACAAGCAATCTGATTTATAACACATGAAGGGATAACTGATAATACTTCAATATGACTACTGCTATTACCTATCCATGCTCAGATGGTATTAAAATAGAAATATGAAGAACTTTTCAAGGTAATTTTTATCTCTGAGTATAGCCAATATTAAACAAAATTTTGCAAGCTTTGAAGCTTAATGATTAATAATAAAAGTGATATGTATGAAGCTTCACAGATTTACATAATAATAATACAATGAGCAACATATCTCATTTAGATACTTAAAAAAACACTCTATAAGGCAGACAAGGTGTGCACTATGAACATTATTTTATGTAAAAGCAAATTAAGCCTTAAAAATATTTTTAGGTGTAAAACCTGGAATCCATTTCAACTTCTCAGACTCCTAATATATCACTCTTTGAATCACAAGAAAGAATAAAGTAGGAGAGACACATGCACTTATCTAGATGTAAACACAAGGCAGACTGTGCTAAAGTATATAAGAAAGGTAATATAGTGCTGTAGCGATTTAGAGGAGGGAGGAAAACATTATTTTGGCCGACAGATCAAAAGTGGTATTTGAATTGGGATTTATAGAAATGAAGGTTAGCTCAGGAATGTAACAATGAATTAACATCATAGACATTTATTAATGTAACATACTGAGCTGACTGAATAATGGATTAAAAAGACAAACATTTCAAATGATGCAGAAAAAGCAACTGTTTAAATTCAATATTAATTTAAAAAGTGAATAGCAACCTAGAAATGCAAGGCATTTCTCTCTCTCTCTCTCTCTCTCTCTCTCTCTCTCTCATCTCTCTCTCTTGTTAATCCTCACCTGAGCATATTTTTCATTGACTTTTAGAAAGAGCAGAAGGGAGGAGGAGAGACAGAGAGAGAGAAACATCGGAGAGAGACACATCAATTGCTCCTGCATGGGGCCCAGGCATTGAGCCTGCCAACAAGATTATGTGCACTTGACTGGAATTTAACCTGGAACCCTTTAGCCCAGCAGTTCTCAACCTGTGGGTCGCAACCCCTTTGGGGGTTGAACAACCCTTTCACGGGGTCGCCTAAGATCATCGGAAAACACATATATAATTACATATTGGTTTTGTGATTAATCACTATGCTTTAATTATATTCAGTTTGTAACAATGAAATTGGGGTCACCAAAACATGAGGAATTGTATTAAAGGGTCACGGCATTAGGAAGGTTGAGAACCTCTGCTTTAGCCCATGGGCTGATGCTCTATCCACTGAGCAAAACTGGCTAGGGCAAGGTACCTTTCTTAACTGAATAATGAATACCTTTCAAAAACCTATAGCAAACAGCATACATAATGGTAAAATTTCAAAAGCATTCTAATTAAATCAGGAGCATGTCAAGAATGTCCTCCAATGCCAGGAGTGGGGTGAGGCCAGGAAAAATAGGGTCAACATTTGCACAACCTTCTGAGTGACTTCCTAAAATTCACACCTGAGGCCTTAAAGACATATGATTAATAATATGACTATGAATAAGGCACATGAATAGAAAAGGAGACAAAACTATTTTTGTTTACAAACTAAGCAATGCTCATTCCACAAATGTCAAGTGGATATCAGCCTAGGTTTTGAAAGACACCATTAGAACCGCAGACCCATCATCTTTTCTTTGTAAAAGTGAAAATAAACAGACACTTTTGGTTTTCTTCTAGGAAGGCTCTTAGAGTTTTCTAGTAAAGCTCTTATCATTTTCATGACCTGAATAACAAAGCAAACAGTATTTCCTGGTCCTACAACAACCCATTTTTATCAGAACTTTAGCTCTGTTCAAAATATCTCTTAATTTTAAGGGAAGTCTCTGGTTGGGGGTAGGGTTACCACATGAATGAGGAACAGCTTTTTTCATCACCCACGTTAGTGTATACCCTTTTCCTCTCCGTAGTCTTCTGCTCTGGCCCTGTTTTCTAAAACCCACTACTTAATAGTCAAGGAGCTGCCTCAATAGCACTACAATTGAGAGTGTCTGTGAGGGATCTGCTTTCTGTGCCAAAGGACCCTATGAGATTCCAAAGTAGTTGATATCACCTGTCACCACTGACATTAATTCCTGCTGCTAACAAATAAGTAACAAACACCCCAAGCCACTACTATTGAGGTCCCCCTTCATTGAGTGAGGAATCTGTCCTCACAACGGAGCAATGAGTTCTGTTGCTGGTTCCAAATATATGTCCCCCAGTATGGCAAACCAGAACTATACACCTGGACATAATTTGTAGCAGTGGCACACTAAAGGTATGTTTACAAGTGCATTGTACCCTTTTCATTATGTCTGATGTCTTGTATCCTCTATACCTTATTAAGCATTTAGGGAAAATATTTTCCCCGGCTTTTACTTTAGCGCTAATATTTCTGGGGTTTAGTCTTAGCCCCATGGCATTTGGGTCAGAGGACAAATTTGAGTACCAGGTACCAGATGGCTGGGCTTGGCAAACCAGCAGAGAATGTAAAACATACCTTTAAGGACAGTTGAAATCAAACCCCTTTATCAGCAGACATCCCATGGAAACATATTTCTGGAGCTGGGTTCCCTGGCTCAGAGATTGCTTCGCCTGTATTCAAAATAAAGACGGAGATCATGCACATCAATTTCACGTAATTAGCTTTTTACATGACTTTCATTTCTGTTAAGTTAGCTAATTAACAACATGCTTTCAAATCAACTCTCCTACTCCTTTCTCTTGAGTTCACGGGCATTTTCACACTCATGCTCACTAAAATCAGCTCTGTCAGCATCTCTTCCTCTGCAATGACTCAGGCTTGAGGGTACTTCCCCATTGACAGACAGTAGCTGTACTATTAATTTTGTTCTATACTTTTCTCTCACCAGGAAACAGGCTATTTAATTCCTGAGATTGCTCCGAGGCAGCCTGTTTATGTTGTTGAGCAGATTTATGAAGCGCCTGTATTGAATAACTGAACATGCTGGCTGGAAATTACTATACTTGCCCCAGATATGAATTTTAAATAAAATTTTTCCATAGCCTATTTAAGTAAATTAAAAGAGCCCTCTCCATTATAAAAATGAACGTTATCTCATTTCCATAATTTTTCTCTTAAAAAGAGGTGTGATTATATCTTCATGACAGATCTTCCATAATTGTTAAGTGTGTCAAATATATTTTGGTTGATTAGGATATTGGTGAGAAATGACTGATAGCATTGGGCTTCTTAACTCCTTCCAAAACAATGACTAGGAAAAGTTTAAATGACTCCCAGATCACATGGATGCTTTAAATCTGTTGACTCAGCCACATCCTTAAATTCTTTGTGGAAGGGAGTCTCATTTCTCTGTCAGTTAATGATTTTTAGTTCTACATAAACTGGCATAAATACATACATCTCCTTTTTTTTTTTTTTTTTTTTTTTTTAGCACAACTGAGATCTCTTTAAATTACCAATTTCACTTTCAGTTTTATATCCAACATATGAATGAAATCATATGATGCTTAACTTTTCTTGTCTGACATTTCACTTCATGTGATATTCTCAAAATCCATCCATGTTGTCCCAAATGGCAATATTTAATCTTTTCTTATGGCTGAGTAGTATTCCATTGTATATACTAGTATGTACCACATCTTCTTTATCCAGACACAGACAACAATATGGTAAATATATTGTGTTGGAGGATTTGACTTTGGATGGTGGGCACACATTGCAATATACAGATGATGTATCATAGAATTGTATACCTGAAACCTATATAATTTTATTAACAAATGCCACCCCAATAAATTTAATTAAGTGAATTAATGAATGAATGAATAAATAAATAAAAGCTTAAGACAGTGCAAAACAAAACTAAACTAAAACAATAAATTACTCATTTTGAATAGGAATGGGTAATGTAAACTCCAAATATCTGGTACTAATATAGTCCTCTTATTTTGAATCACCACACTGAGTCTGAAGGATTTAGTAAAAGTTTGGCATTTTATCACAAAGCAATTACAAACTATACAATTTTAAGTACTAAATATTACACTTGACAGAAAAATGCCAAACATAGTCAAGATACCGGCCAGTACTGCTATGATTTTAAAATAAGTGCAATAAAATTTTCTATTGTAATTTATCTAAACCTTTGTATATTCTATATTCATACAATTAAAATAATTTCTTTCCTGAAATTACTTTAGCAAAAGGTTGCAAATAACATATTAATGCCATTAAGAAATCTGAATATATAGCTCACCAGAAAAAAAGTCATTAAAAATTGTCTAATAAAGTTGACAATAGGAAGTGTATTGATTAGGGTCATATTGATAATTCCATACATAATAACTCATTTATAATATCCATATTATGGAGGCTTTTGTGGATGAAATTTTCGATGCAACAGGTAACGCCTTAGCTAACCTTGGTGGTGACAATGATGCATGAATTGAAAGAAATGTTGAAATAGTGTTGATTCAAAACTTGATAGCAAGAAATTGCCTTCCCAACTTAAAAAATAACTGGATGCCAGTTCAGAGCATATAACAAAAACTCAATGTGCAAATATATGGAGTTTAACAATTTGATATTAATTAATATTTTTATTATTTGAAATTCAATTAAGTCTATGTCTCTAACTAGAGAGAATTGAATTAACTCAAATAACATTCAAAAAAATATGCATTCTTTACAAATATGCAGCCATTTTAGCAAAGCAGAAATACTAATAAAGCCTTAAAGCATTATGCAGTAACTTCTGGTGGAATCCTGTCCAAATTGTCTGGAGAAGGTAGTTTAGCATCGTGTTAAAACCCATGATTTTGGAATCAGACAGAGTTTCAAATTCCAACTCTGCCACTTACTCAATATACCATCATAGGCAAGATACCTAACCTCTTGGAATTTGATGGCTTCATTTGTAAAATAGGAATATTAGTATGTATTTCAAGACATTATGAAGGACTAAATAAGGTAGTCATTGCAAAGTACTTAGTTCAGCTCCAGGAAGAGAAAAGTATTCAATAAACTGGTATCTCAGATGAATTGTAACCTCATAGAAGGCAAGTGTCATGCCTTAATATTTTTTTTCTATAGCCTCCATAGGGCTTATCATACTATATAGCAAACAGCAGGCCTTTCTCTGCATACTTACAACTTTTCTTATGTAGTGACTGATTTCTGATGTGCTATTGCGGGCCTGCTTTCACATTAACTGTTGACTACATGTAACTACACTAAAAATGAAGAGTTATCATTTAGAAAATTACTTCTGTGTAAGTTTTTTTCTTACAGAATTAAACATAAGTTTGGCTTGTAGAGAACCCAAGAAGTATTGATAAGATTTCTCTGTCCTCTTCATTCAAGGAAGGCCAACTGCGTAATGAAAAACAAAATTGGGTTCAGGGTAAGCTACTCAGATTCAATTTCCTTTTCTTGAGGATAATATCTATTCAGAGATGATGGCATTTAACAATGGTTACCTAATTTTCTTCTTCCTTCAGCAGGTTTGTAAATCAGCTATCTGTGGAAAACATTTTGAAGGTTGCTCTCAAATCTTCTTGCAACTCATATGGTCATTAAATAAAACATATCCTGCCCATGATTGAGAGAGCAGCCCTAGAACTTTATTGAGAGCTAAATTCTGGAAGGATATATTTTATGTTTTTATAAGATGCTCATACACATTGTTCACCTCTGTGCTTATAGCAATTTTCATTTTTCTTTTAAGTAGGCCAAGTTGTAGAGAAAAGAGGGACATGATTATTTTACTATGTACATCTCATTGATGAGAAGTGATAAATTTGAATTTAATAACAGTTAAATGATGTGAGAAATTAATAAAAATAAACAAAGATGTTATCCTTAAAAATTAAAAACAATAATAAATTGCCTTATCATAGATTACTCTGTAGTTACATTATGCTCTTTGTTTTCTGTTTCTAGAATTCTTATAATTATGGTCAATTGTGTTCATCCTTTATCTCTCACAGCCATAAAGGATGAGGCTATCTTATTTAAACCATTTTATAATTATGGGTCTAAATAGTCTATTGAAATTACATTACTCCAGTTGAACATGCTCTGACTATGCACAAACTTGGATATTAGAAATTGCCCAAGAAAGAGCCATCTTCTCACTAGATTTTGTCTTTGTTTTTTACCAGGTTCTGAATAGAGTGTAGAAGCTTCCAGTGGAAGGAATATTTCTTCTGTGCCCCCAAAACTGGAATCTAGTAAATTTCAGTTTGACAGTTCATTGGTTCTAAGACAGTTAAGGGCCACTGGTTTCTTATCTTTTCTGAACTTCAGTTTTTTGTTTTATTTTATAAAATAAACGCAGAATAATAGTCAAAATAAACAAACTTGTTTTGTGTTTTAAAATTAAAAAGACCATTGAAAATGATACAGAACTGTGCAATTATGAGATATTGTTTTTGGCAATAATACACACACACAAAGGAACACACACAACCATATATATTCTTAATTCTTACTTTCGATATTACTTTACTCTACATATGAAAGTAAATACTACAGGTCACAGACTAATTCACAAGACGTTATTTTTTTGAAAATTTTAACAGAGCAGCATCTGGTCTTCTGGCAGAAAATTCAAACCATTTTGTTGGCAGCCTCAGGATTATCCCTTGGTGAGCCTGTAAATGGGGTGTTTGAGTTAATTGTACTCTTAACCACCAGCACCCTGTAGTGGATGTTCTCCTTTCCAGATTTTTTTCTGTGTAGGCTATACAGACTGGATTTTTAAAAAATAGTTTTACTACAACAACAAAAAAACACAACAACAACAAAAAAACCTAGTGAATTACATTTCATGGCTAGCTAATGTAAGTTATTTTATTCCAGTTGTATAAATGCCTTTGTCTTTTTAAAATATATTTTTATTGATTTGAGAGAGGAAGGGAGAAGGAGAGGGGGAGAGAGAGAAACATCAATGATGAGAGAGAGTCATTGATTGGCTGCCTCCTGCACTGCCCCTACTGGGGATCAAGTCCACAACCCAGGCATGTGCCTTTGACTGGAATAGAACCCAGGACCCTTCAGTCTGCAGACTGATGTTCTATCCACTGAGCCAAACCAGCTAGGGCTAGATGCCTTTATCTTATCATTGACTTTGTTTTCAACTTTTGCAATTTTTTCTGCAATTTTACACCTCCATTTATTCTCATAATACTGTTTATCATTTCTCTGTTGGTTATATTTCTTAGTTTGTCTTTCTACAATATTTGTATTTTAACTGTGTAAAGCTATTCCTCATGAAATTTTTAGGAAAAAAAGTATTAAGAAAAAGTATTAAGGAGCAATAATGTAGGCTTTTATGTTTTCTGAGTTTCTTTTATTATCATCATCATTTTATAATACACAAAATTTCATTCATATGTATGCAGGAAACAAAATTAATTTGTTAATAACAAGGTCTTATATAAAAGTGCAAGTCAGCATGGGGGGAAGTAAGTGAAAACTGGGAAATTCCTAAACCTGAGTTGAAACCTATTTAGAAAAGGATAAGTAAATGAAATGACTACTTACTAGGGCTTTATTATGGGACCCAATTCTATGTCTGGATGTCTTGCCATTAAAATAATTCACACTA